TTCAGAGTAATTTGCTCCACCCATATATATGTTCTCCATTTAGTCAAGTCTTTCTGAATGTCATTTAGGAAAGTTTTAAAATATTCTTTATGTAGGTTTTGTATAATTTTTACAAAGTTAATTCCTAGATACTTCTAATTTGTTTAATAAAATAATGAATGACCTCTTCTTTTTTTAATAAAAATTTCTAGCTGGTTATTAGTGGTTTAGGAAGAGTTCTAAATTTTGTAAGTTAACCTATATTTGGAAACTTTGCTAAACTCTATTAATTCAGAGTTCTTCTGTTGATCTAATAGTTTTCCATGTACATGATCATCTCTCTCTTACACATACTGACATTTTTTTTGCTTCTTTCCAATCCTTATACCTTTTTTAAATATAAAATGTCAAAAACAGCTATATTTGTCTTGTTTCTGAACTTAAAGATCGTATCTAAAATTCTAAATATGGTATTTGCCCATTAAGCATATTATCAAGTTTAGAAAATGTTTTATTATTTCTATTTTCTATGGGTTTATCATATTTAGGTTGTTGAACTAAAGTAATTTTTTGTACTTGTCAAGATAGTCATATGAATTTTCTATAGCAATCCACTAATAGGAAAAATTAGATTGGCAGATTTTCTAATGTTAACCATTCTGGAAAATTTTTTATAAGTAAAACAGAAATATAAATTTTTTTACATTATTTTTTCCTGGCTTTGGAATAAAGATTTTAAATAAAGTTTTTGAAATTAATACTAGTCTCAAAGATAGAGTTTACTCGTTTAAAATTTCTCCTTTTAGGAACATGTATAAGATAGATATTTCTATTCCTTAACAACTATCTGAGTCTATGGGTTTTTTGGCAAGGGACATTTTTTTATTTAAATTAGTTGCTTTCAAAGTTATTGGCTTTTCCATTTTAAAATTTTTAGACTGATTTTTATAATTTTACTTTTAATTTAAAGAAATTTATTTTATTATGGTAAACATTTAATATGAGATCTACCCTCTTAATAGATTTTTAGGTATAAAATATACTATTATAGATTACTAGTACAATGTTGTAGAGCAGATCTCTAGAACTTATTCATGCTGCTAATTTATGCCTATTGATCAGTAACTCCTCATTGCTCCCTCCCCTCTGCCTGTGGCAACAACCATTTCACTGTTTGGTTCTATGAATTTGAGTACTTTAAATACTTCACATAAGTGGAATCATGTATCACTCGACTTTCTGTGACTTGTTTATTTCACTTAGTGTGAACCCTTGAGGTTCATCTACGCTGTCACATTTTGCAGTTTCCTTCTTTTTAAGGCTGAGTAGTGTTCTAGTGTATGCATATACTGCATTTTTTAAAATACATTCTTTTGTAGATGGATGGTTAGGTTGTTTCCATACCTTGGCTATTGTGCATAGGTTTGCAATAAACATGGGAGTACTAATATTTCTCTGAGGTCTTGATTTCAGGTCCTTTAGATAAAAACCCAAAAGTCAGATTAGATCATGTGTAATTCTAAATTTAATTTTTTGAGAGACTTTCATACCATTTTCCAAAGTTTCTGTACCATTTTGCATTCCCACTAATAGCAAGCAAGGATTCCAGTTTCTTCACATCCTCACAAACACTTGTTTTATGTGTGTGCATGTGTGTATATGTGTTTTATAATAGACATCCTGTCAGGTTTCAGGTGAGATCTTACTGTGGATTGATTTAAACCCCCCTGATAATTAGTAAAATTGAGTAAATCTTTATATATCTGTTCAAATCCTTAGCCTATTTTTAGTTATTAAGTGTTTTTTGGGTTTTTTGTTTTTGTTTTTGTTTTTTGTTTTTTTTTTTGCTATTGAGTTAGGAATTCTTTATATATTTTGAAGATTAATCTCTTACCAGATAGAAGGTTTGAAAATATACTTTTTCCAGGGGTCATGTTATCTTTTATTATTAGCACTGATTAATTTAAACATATAACTAAAACATGCCCTAAAAATACGTAAATAAATTTTAGAAACTCATTAGGCCAGATAAAGTGACTAATTGGAAGAAATAAGGTGTAAAGACTTAGGACAGTACCGTCTGCCAAGCACTTTGAGGCTGAAGCAAGATATCCAAAATTCAGATGGAGAACAAACCCAGAGAGCTACCAAATGTCATTGCCTACCTGGGACTACATGCCAGTGTGTCTGAACAAGTGCATACCATTCCATAGTTGGAATATACATAGATAGATTACAGTCTTAAATGTAAAAGTGAGAAACCAACATTTGCCTGCTTGTGATGGGTTTTATGACTCTTGAGGACTCCTGAAAATATTTTCTTCCGTTCTGTAGGTTGCCTTTTCACTCTGTTCATTGTCTCCTTTGGTGTGCAGAAACTTTTCAGCTTGATAGAGTCTCACTTGCTTATTTTTGTTTTTGTTACTTATGCTTTTGGTGTCACATCCATGAAATCATTGCCAAGACCAATGTCATGAAGATTTTCCTCTATGTGTTCTTCTAGGAATTTTACAGTTTCAGGTCTTAAATTTAAATATTTAATCCATTTGAGTTGATTTTTTGTATAGTAAAATGCAAGCCCAGTTTCATTCTTTTGCATATGGACATTCAATTTCCCCATCATCATTTGTTCAAGAGATCATCCTTTCTTTATTGTGTGTTCTTGGCACCCTTGTCAAAGATCAATTGACCATACATGTGTGGATTCATTTCTGAGCTCTCTACTCCATTCCATTGGTCTGTCTGTCTTAATGGCAGTTACATACTGTATTGATTATGGCAGCTTTGTACTATATTTTTAAATCAGGAAGCATAATGCCTCCAGCTTCATTCTTTCTTTTTTTTTAATCAAGATTTATTTTGCTATTCATGGTCTTTTGTGTTTCATATGAACTGTAGAATTGTATATTCTATTTCTGCTAAAAAAAATGTTTTGGGGATTTTAATAGAGATTACATCAAAAAACCTAACTTTAGTCTTTAAGGAGCTAGGGAAAGAAGAAAAAAACTGAACCAAAAGTTAGCAGAAGGAAGAAAGCAACAAAGATTAGAGCAGAAATAAAGTAGAAAACAGAAAAATAATAGAAAAAATTAACAAAACTTGGAGTTGTTTTTTGAAAAGATGAACAAAATTGAAAAACCATTAGCTAGAGTACGGAAAAAAGAGAAGATCCAAATAATTGAAATAAAAAATGAAAGAAGAGACATGACTGATAGTACAGAAGTAAAAATAATCATTGAAGACTACTATAAAATATTATATGCCAACAAACTGGATAACCTAGAAGAAATGAATACATTCCTAGAAACATACAACCTACTAAGACCAAATCATGAAAAAGTAGGAAGTCTTGGTATACAGCCACAGAAATCCAAAACACTAATTCAAAAGAAAATATACATCCCCATGTTCATTGCAGCATTATTTACAATAGCCAAAATATGGAAGCATCATCATGACCATGATGACCACATGATCAATAGTCAAGTGGATAAAAATGTGGTGCTACATATATCCATATTACTCAACCATAGAAAGAATGAAATCTTACCATTTGTGAAAGCATAGATGGACTTAGTAGGTATTATGCTAACTGAAGTAAGTCAGGCAAAGGAAGACAAATAACATATGATTTCATTTGTATGTGTAATCTACAGAACAAAATAAATGAACAAACAAAATAGAAACAGACTCAGATCCAAAGAACAGAGTGATGATTGCCGTAGTGGAGGTGGATGAGGGACTGGGTGAAAAAGGTGAAGGGATTAAGAAGTACAATTTGGCAGTTACAAAATAGTCACAGGGATGTGAAATACAGCATAAGGAACATAATAAAAAATACTGTAATAACTATTTATGGTGCCAGGTGGGTACTAGACTTACTGAGAGGATCATTTCATAAGCTATATAAATGTCTAACCACTTTGCTGTACACCTGAAACTAATATAATATTCAAAGTCAACTGTCATTGAAAAATTTAAAAATATATATATACACTCATGTAGCCATATTTATAAAAGACAGAGTGGAAATCAATGTGATTTTTTCCCCCAGCACTTTGAAAATTAACTCATGGGCTTCTTGCATACAGAACTGCCTTATGACCTTTAGTGTCACTTTGATTCTCTTTCCTTTGTGTCTTTTTTCATTTTTGAAGCTTTTAGATTTTTCTTTCTGATTCTTTTGTCAATCTTTTAAATTTCATTATGTCTATAAGTTGGCTTTATGTTAAGTATCCTGTTTGATACTCCATGAGTCTTTTAGTCCTTCCAACATGTATATTTAACGTTTCTGATTTTCTGAAAAACATTAGTTATTATCTTATTATTTACAGCCCAATAGATCCTTAAGTAAAAGCTCTGTCCCTCCCAGCACCTTATCAGAGGTTGGTGGTAGGGAAACAGAAAAGACTTCAGGAGATGAACATTTTATTGATCTGCTTTTTTAAATTTTTTAATTTTTCTTTTTTTTAAGAGACAAGAACTCTGGAACTTGTTAAAAATAAGAAGAATCCTCATCATCAATGCAAATAGAAGGGAATTCCTCACAGTAAAGAGGAGTCACATCATGAAAGAAGGGCTTATTACAGGATTTATTGCTTGAATATATAATTTGTTTCTGGGTAAAAATAAATGTACATCTGTTTTTAAAAAAACATTTATTAAATTCGGCTTCAAAACATTTTTTAGTTTTATAGGCAACATTCGGAGAGAACGAGTAACATTTTTCAGAAATCTTGATTTTCTTCATGCTTACTGGACACAGACTGCAATTTCTCCTAATGCTAAGGGAGTTAATTCATGTCTCTCCCCTCCCTCCATTTTCTTTCTCTCTTAAAAATTAAAATGGACCAAAGTGTGTTTTTTAAACACTAAAATTGCAAATGTTATGAAGATAAGAAAGAGTGATTAACAGGCTTTGATAGCTAAACTAAATCCACCTGCCCTTGACTCATCTGCGCCTGTGTAGTACTTGGAACACCCAGGCGTTCGGGGGGAGGAGTGAGGCGTGGGCTGGGAGGTGGGCAGCCGCTGCGTGGTGGAGCTGCTGGCTGTCCGGCCTCTCAGCACAGCTCGAGGTGCTCTGCCTGGTCCGGCGTGAGATCCCCTGGGCTTTCCAGCTGAAGCTGGATACCCTGCTCGGCCCGGAGCGAGGATGGAGAGGCGGGTGAGCGGGGCTGGACGAGGGAAGGAGGGCGCTGGGCGCAGGGTGGGCGATGTCGTATCAGTGGCCTAGGGTGACGGCTGGCTGAGGGCGCCAGGCTTTTCAGCTCGCCCTATTCTGGTCTGAAGCTGGGTTTTCTCCCGGGGATTTCCTTTTAGCGCTTAACCTAGCCGAAAAGCTAATTTTGCCCTACAAAGTGGCCTCCCGTCTTCCTGACATTCCGGTTCTCTGTTTCAATGCCTTGGGGGAAAAAAGAAGGCCGCCAGGCGGGGGCTTCGGAGATACTTCTGTCCATCCAGATCATTTTCATCCGGGGAGTGGAACTGGACCCGGCTGCGCGGGTCCTCTGGGCGGACTGCCGCGAGGAGGTTCACTCGCTCTGGATGTAGGCTAGGAAAGCAGATTCTATTTTAAGCTGCTGCAAATGGGGGTGCCTTTTCCTCCACACAATAGCTGGGGTGGGGCTGCAGAATTCGGGGCCTGAGGAGAGCTCGTTCTATCTTGGATCCTCTGGCCTCTTTCTCCAATCTCTGGGCCTTTGCTTGGGAAACCATAAAGGATCAGATAAATCAGGCTTAACACTCTGATAACTAGGTATCTAGGAGAGACAGGCATCTTGTGTATTCAGGATCTGTTTCCATGACATGAAATGAAGGGAAAGATTTTCATTTACATTGGCATAATTGATTAAAAAATAAAATAACAATTAAAAAAATAAAATCCAAATGCAAGTAGTACCTCAAGGTAATTTTTTTTCATGTATAGCTTCTTGGCAAGACCACCCAGCCAGTTATTTCAGTGTCTGTCTTAACAAAGGAGAATGGTGGCCATTGAGCTCATGTTTACTGTGTGCCAGATGCTCTTAATCTTAGCAACTATCCTTCAAAGGAGGAATTATTACTTGATTTTACAAGTAAAGAAACAGTCAGAGGGGTTGATTTTTCCAAGTCCATTTGACTGTATGTGGTGGTATAAGGATTTGGACCATAGAATTTTGAGGAGAAGAGGTATGAATAGAGGTGATGTAGCTGCCAAGTGCGCAGCTGTCAGGTAAAACTAGGGCTTCTGTGAAACCAGGCCCTCTTGGCAAAAGGTAGAAATGGACTTCCTTCATTTCCATTATTGTACTCCCTGTATATGATTTGAGTAATAAATTTTTTAGCTACCTAACCTATATTAGCATATATTGTGTCTTAAGCACTATATTTAGTACCTTAAATACTTAATTCTCATAGTAACCCAGTGAAATAACACCATTTATTTATTTTTTTACTTTCCTCAATATTAGCTCTTGTATTTTTTCAATTATAGTTGATATTCAACATTATTTTATAATAGTTTCATGTGTGTAACATAGTGGTTAGTCATTTATACACCTTATAAAATGATCCCCTCTATAAGTCTGGTACCTGTCTGACACCATACATAGTTATTACAATATTATTGACTATATCTACTATGCTGTACTTTTTACATTCCCATTACTGTATTGTAACTGCTAATTTGTACTTATTAATTCCTTCACCTTTTTTACCCAATCCCTTAACCCTCTCCCCTCAGGCAACCATCAGTTCTATGGATCTATGAGTCTATTTCTATTTTGTCTGTTCATTTATTTTGATTGATTGATTGATTGATTTTTAGAGAGAGGAGAAGGGGGGGAGAAAGAGAGGGAAAGAAATATCAGTGTGTGGTTGCCTCTCATGAGACCCCTGCTGGGGACTTAGCCCATAACCCAGGCATGTGCCCTGACTGGGAATCGAACTGATGACCCTTTGGTTCACAGGCTGAGCACTCAATCCACAGAGCTACACCAGCTGGGGATATTTTGTTCTTTAGGTTCCACATATAAATGGAATTATATAGTATTTGTCTTTTTTTGTCTGACTTACTTCAGTTAGCATAATACCTACCAGGTCCATCCATGCTGTCACAAATGGTAAGATTTCATTCTTTTTATGGTCAAGTAATATATATATATCTTACCACGTTTTTATCCACTTGAATACTGATGGTCACTTGAGTTGCTTCCATATTTTGGCTATTGTAAATAATATCGCAGTGAACATGGGGTGCACATATTCTTTCAAATTAGTATTTTGGGTTTTTTCATATATGTATACCCAGAAGTAGAATTGCTGGATCATAAGGTTGTTTTGTTTTTGATTTTTTTAACTGAAGCTCCATACTGTTTTCTACAGTGTCTTCACCAATCTTCATTTCCACCAATAGTGCCTGGAGTGTCCTTTTCTTTCACATCCTTTCCAAACACATGTTTGTAGATTTACTGATGGTAGCCATTCTGATATGTGTGGGGTGATATAACATTGTGCTTTTAATTTGCATTTCTCAGACAGTAACACCGAGCATCTTTTCATATGCTTGTTGGGCATCTGTATATCTTCTTTAGAGAAGTGTCTATTCAGGTTCTCTGCCAACTTTTAGATTGGATTGTTTGGGCTTTTTGGTGTTAAATTGTGTCAGTTCTTTATAAATTTTGGCTATTAGCCCCTTATTGATGTACTATTGGTGAATATGTCCCAATCAGTATGTTGTCTTTTGGTTTTGTTGATGGTTTCTTTTGCAGAAACTTTAATTTGATGTAGTGCCATTTATTTATTTTTCTTTAGTTTCTCTTGCCTGAGGAGATAGATCAGAAAAAAAAAAAATTACTAAGAGCAGTGTCAGAGTGTTTACTGCATATGTGCCTTAAATGCTTAATTCTCATATGCTTAATTCCCTTAGGGCTTAATTCTGTTTTCTTCTAGGGGTTTTATGGTTTCAACTCATATTTAAGTCTCTAATTCATTTTGAGTTTATTCTCATGTACAGTGTAAGGTGGTCTAGTTTTACTTTTTTGCATGCATTTATTTAACTTTCCCAACACCATTTGTTGAATAAACTGTTTTTACCTGATTATATATACTTGCCTTCTGTGTCATATATTAATTGGCCGTAATGATGTGGGTTTATTTCTGGGCTCTCTATTCTGTTCCATTGTTCTACGTGTCTGTTTTAATGTCTGTGCCGTGCTGTTTTGATTACTCTAGCCTTGTACTCTGTTGATATCAGGTAGCATGATGTCCCCAACTTTGTTCTTTCTCATGATTGATGTGGCTATTTGGGGTCATTTGTGGTTCCACATAAATTTTTGGATTATTTGTTCGAGTTCTGTGAAATGCCATTGGTATTTTGATAGGAATTGTGATGAATCTATAGATTCCGTTGGGTACTATGGGCATTTTAACAATGTTGATTCTTCCTGTCTGTGAACATGGTATATACTTCCATTTATTTGTTTCTTCTTCAGTGTCTTTCTTCAATGTCTTAAAAATTTATGAGTACAGATCTTTAACTTCCTTGGTTAGTTTATTCCTAAGTATTTTTTAATGCAATTGTAAATGGAATTATTTTCTTAATTTCCCTTTTTGATGGTTCATTATTGATTGTTAAAAATGCAAGTGATTTCTACATATTAATTTTTTATTCTGCTTCTGTACTGAATTCATGTATTAGTTGTAACCATCTTTTGGTGGAATCTTTAGGAATCTCTACATAATAGTATTATGTCTTCAAATAATGAAAATTTTAGTTCTTTCCAATTTGCATGCCTTTTATTTATTTTTCTTTTCTTACTGCTGTGGCTACATCTTCCAATGTTATGTGGAATAAAAGTGGTGAAAGTGGACAACTTGTTTTGATCCTGATCTTAAGAAAAACATTTTTTTTGCTTTTCCCCATTGGTTATGAAGTTACTGTGCATTGTTGTATAGGGCCTTTATTATGTTCAATTATGTTCCCTCTATTCCCACTTTTCTGAGAGTTTTTATCATAAATTTGTGCTAGGTTTTGTCAAATGCTCTTTCTGCATCTATTGAAATAATCATGACTTTTATCCTTTTCTTTGTTTCATGTTAATTGACTTGCAATTAACATGAAACAAAGAAAAGGATATTGCAAATATTGAACTACCTTACATCCCAGGAATAAATACCACTTGATCATGGTGTATGATCTTTTTAATGTATTGTTGAAATTGGTTTGCTAATTTTTTAATATATTTTATTCATTTATTTTTTAGAGAGAGGGGAAGGGAGAGAGAAAGAGAGGGAGAGAAACATAGGTGTGAGAGAAAAACATTGATAAGTTGCCTCTTGCACATGCTCCAACTGGATACTGAGCCCACAACCTAAGTATGTGTCATGACTGGGAATTGAGTCAGCGACCTTGTAGTTTGAAGGACAATGCTCAACCAATTGAACCACGCCAGTCAGGGCTATGGGTCTTATTTTCTTATTCATTCAGCTGCCCTATGTTTTATGATTGGAGCATTTCATACATTTACATTTAGTGTAATTATTAATAGGTACATATTTATTGCCATTTTATTCTTAATAACTATATTCCTCTTTTTTTTTCTTTTTTTTCAAAAAGTCCCTTTAATAGTTCTTGTAATGCTGGTTTTTTTGGTATGAACTCCTTTAGCTTTTTCCTGTCTGGAAGCTCTTTATTTCTCCTTCAATTTTTAAATTCTACCTTGTTGGGTAGAGTAGTCTTGGTTGATTGTCCTTGCTTTTCATCACTTTGACTCTTTTATGCCAATCTCTTCTGGCCTGAAAAGTTTCTGTTAAGAAATAAGCTTACAGTCTTTTGGAATCCCACTTATAAGTAACTTACTTTTTCCTCTTCTTGCTCTTAAGATTCTGTCTTTGTTTTTAACCTTTGGCATTTTAATTGTAATAATCTTGGTGTGAGTCTCTTTGGAGTCATCTTGTTTGGGACTTTCTGTGCTTCCTGTACTTGTATATCTATTTCCTTCACCAGTTTAGGAAAATTTCCAGTTATTATTTCTTTAAATAGGCTCTCAATCCCTTGCCCTCTCCTTATTCTTGTATCCATATGGTGCAAATATTGTTTTGCCTGATGTTGTCTCAGGAGTCCCTTAAACTATCTTTATTTTTATTTATTTTTTATTTTTTTATTGGTCAAAATGGGTGTTTTCTGTTACGTTGTCTCCCAAATCACTGGCTTACTCTCCTGCTTCATCTAATCTGCAGTTGATTATTTTAATATGTTCTTCATTTCAGTTATTTTTTCCTTCTCTTCACTGGTTCTTTTTTATGGTTTCTATGCCCTTTTTTCAGTCTTACTATATCTATGTTGAAGTGCTCGCTGAATTCCTTGAGCGCCCTTACAACCAGTGTTTTGAACTCTGTATCTAGTAGTTTGCCTCCATTTCATTTAGTTCTTTTTCTTAAAATTTCTTCTGGTCTTTTATTTGGGACATGTTTTTTTGTTTCACCATTTTAGCTGCTTTTCTATGTTTGTTGCTATGTAATAGGTAGATCTGTTACATCTTTCATTCTTGGCAGGGTGACTTTATATAGTCAGTGTCCTGTGAGGTTCAGTGTTGCAGTCTCCTTAAAACCTGAGACGGGTGCTCCAGGAGTGCCCTTTCTGTGGGTTTTATGTGCCCTGTTGTAATTGAGCCTTAATTGCTGTTGGTACATCAATGTGTGTGATTGACCTTCAGGTTTATTATCTATGAGGCTTGGCTACCAGCACAGAATATGAGATACTTTGTGGAGCCTCACAGAGCAGAATTTGCCCCAGTAGGGTTTGGTACCTTATGAGACTACCCTTTGGGTGTTCCACTTGTGAAGCTAATTGGGTGGTACTCTGTTGTGGTCTGAAGCCAGCGCCTGGGTGTGTTGGTTCTAGGGTGTCTTGAGGGATTGGGCTCTGGTTCAGGTCAATGTTGGATTCTGCCATGACCAACCGGATTACTTGTTTGGAGCTACAAAACAATCCCCACTTGGCAGCTATCTGTACCAGGTCTGGGTAGTGTGGGAGAGGCCATGCTGCGAACTTAGGCCGCCACTAGTACTGAGCAAAAGGTCTAAGGCAGCCTAAGACCTGCTTCCACCTACCATTTGCCCTAAGGCTCAGCTGCTGAAAGAACCTTAGGTGGTGCACAAATTGCATGAGGCTGGGTCTCAGAGAGTCACCAGGATGGCTTGAGTGGTGTTCAGCAGGTTAATACAGATTCAGATTTGGTGCCCCTGCTCAGCCTGAGGCTATTCAACAAAAGCCTATACCTGCCTGGGACCTGCAAACATTTGCAGTGGGGTGGGGTCTCAGAGTTGTCAAAGTGGAGCTAGTGGAGTTCACCAGGCCAATCCAGAATCAGGTTTGGTCATGTGGAGAAAGGGCTCAACACAGGGACAATGGCAGTCATCCCTCCCACCCTTACCATGAAGCCACACAACTCACTTTCTCCCTGTAGGCCTCTGGCACTTCCCAAGCTTGACCAGACTTGGAGAGTTTTATAAGAAAGAGAGAAATTCAGGACCAGGCTGGTTGTGCCAAAAGAGGCTCCAGTGATGCGTGATATGTGAGTTGGGTGGGGTGGGGTATGAGGTAATCATCAGTGTGGAGCGAGTGGTGTTTACCAGACCAATGCAGAATGAGGTTTGGCTGTAAGGGGGGAGGGGTGTAGGGCTCAATACAGGAAAGATGGAGCCTGTTGACGCTGCAGGAGGAGTGTTCAACAGAGACAATGGTTGGTGTCTCCCTAGCCCTCATTCTGAAGCCACACAACTGTTTCTCTCTCTGTGTCTCTCACACCATCCAGCCCCTAGCCAGTGTCCCTTTGCTGGAGCCCAAGGTGAGTGCCTGTGAATGAGACTTTGTGTGCAGGCCCTGTATGAAGATGGGCTGGGTTTCTAGCAGCCTGTCTTCTCACCCAGATGGAGGGAATCTCTGCTGATTTTCTTAACCAGATGTTATGTGACTTTCTCTTGTTGACTTTGGCGTTTTGAGCTGGGGAGCCCTGTCTGTGTGGGGCTGAGATCCCTTGCACTGCAGCGGGACCTCTGCAGCTGAGATATCCTTCTGGAGTCTCAATCACCACATGTGGGTGGGAGCCAGCCCGTTTTTCATCTGTGCCGCTACTACCAGTCTCAGCATGGCTCCTTCTTTACATCCTTTGTTTTACTGTTTCTGTTCAGCTAGTCTTCAGATGGTTCTCCAGGTTGATTGTTCTATAATTTGGTAGTACTTTTGGTGTGATACTGGAAGGAGGCAAGTACAGCATCCTCCCACTCTGCTGTCTTAACCAGACCCTCAGCATCAGCAGTTATTTAGTAATTATTTGTGTCAGTCACTATTTTAGGAGTTCTACCTATACTACATCATTTAATCTTTTTACTATTATTATTATTATTATTTTGCATCTTATGCAGGTAAAAGCATCTGTCCTAGCTCATACATCTAGTACTTCTGCCAGCCTCAACTCAAGTCGGCAGGAGTAAACGTGCATAGATTTAATAGCAAGACTTTCCATCTAATTTCCTTTGCCTACATTACTGACTCATTGTTTCTTAAACATTGCTGGCCCACTTTACACATCCTGTGTTTTGGTGTGTGTCTGCTTTCTCTCTAGTCCTAAAACATAGATTTTCACTAAGAAAGTCAATCCATTCTGCATTTCTCATCACATCCTTTGCTAAAATTTGGATTTCCACATGTAAGAGATTCATGATTTTTTTTAAATGATTTTTTAGTTTCAGAAACCAAAGTTTTAAAACAGCAAGAGCCTAAGCAATTGAGGTGTTAAAAGCCCAAGAATATATGTTTATTTCAGAAAGAGTCAATAGGAAGAATGGAGGGTGACAGGTATTATCTTTTCTGACCCTAGAGAAAATAAATATTTTTTAGTCTGGGAGAGTGAAGTGGGACTGAGTAATGTCTAGACTCAGACAGCAGTTTGTGTCCTGAAAAGGAGGCCCTGTGCCCATCCCCCTGGAGTAGGGAATTCAGGAGGATGGTAAATAGAACTTACAGATAGGTGTTGAAATCTGAGAACAAAAAGCACCTGTGCCTTGCTTTCCTGGGGGTGGTAGAGGGTGGGTGGGCATGAGTGGGGAACTGTGGGAGAGACTTGCCTACCCAGCATGGCAAGGAAACAGTAAAACAGAGGTGGATACATAGGAGTCTAGGCAAAGAGGCTTGTGAAATTTCCCTTTGTCCAGCACAAGAAGAATTCAGGAGGACAAAATCAGGAGCACATGTGAGAGAAGGAGAGAGAACACCTTGTAAATACAAGATTTAATTGCATAGGCCAATGATCCTAATTTTAGGGGCACGCAGCAGCCTTAGGGGATGTCAGCATGGACAGATGTTTGTTACCAAGGATTAGTAGCCCCCAGGAATATATATGCAATGCCATAGTTTGGGGCAAAAGTGAAGTGTTGGGTTTGCAGGAGTTGAATTGACAGAGATAATGTGACATTGACTGAAACTAAGCCTGTACCTCTAATTGGAATGGCAACATGAAGTTCAGTTAAAGGAAAATACAGAAAATGCCTCTTTCTAACTTTTAGTATAGAAAAATGTAGAATCAGAGAAAAATGTGAGGAAAAGTTACATTTCTCACCCATATCCCTATTAATGAACACATACATGTAGACCAAGTGAACAGATCCGTGGAGCTACTGCACAGAAAAATTAATCTCTGCATTCTACTCACATTTTATAGCAAAATGATGCCCAGAATAACATTCCCTTAAATACCAACATGATTTGTGAAAAACCCAAGGATTTATGCCTAGACACATGAAAATAAAGCAATGAAAAAAAAAATAAAGCCATTGCTGTTTTTTAAAAGGTATAGTTTCTATAAAATTTGCAGTCACTAGTTACTGACATGTCAGTCCGCTGAGTTACATTGTAATAGTAACAGATGTGGATCATTTTGAGAGTGGGTACTCTCTAATGTTGTAGTCTCTGTGTATTTATGGCAGTTTGTTTTTTTCCCAGAGATCCTATGCTTTTGGGATTTTGCTCTTGACCATGGTGACTTTAGAGGCAAGGCCTCAAAATTGCTAGGGATTGATATAATGAAGGAGCCACAATGTAGCCTTTCCTGTTCCATATCCTGAGCACACTCTGTTATTTCTTTCGTTTATAGTTTCTGGTTTTGCTTCCTCAAAAACCAAAGTTCTCTGGTGGTTAAAACTTTAGCTGTGACATTCCCTGGGATAGCGATGGGACTGAAGCCTCCTTAGCTTTGTCCACATCCAAATGCCCATATTTGTACTTTGCTCTCTGTCTTCAGGTGTTCGGGAGGTCCTTCTGTCATCTGTCTACCTACAGACTGACTTGGTTCTTGGCAGCAGTGATGCTATGCAGGGCACAAGGTAAAGATACTCAACCTCCTTCCGTGGAGTCCAGAAAACCTGATTTCTTGAGTGGACACATTTGGCCACTGTTGTTTCTGCTTTGCTGGTTCATTTGTCTGTATGAATTACTTAAACGTATAATTTGATTGGAGGATTGGGAGTGGTTCTTTTTGCTATCCAAAACATTTTTGTTCTCAAAGTAAAGAAGACTTAGCTATTTGGAAACTGTTTCTGTAGATAAAACTAGGCATAAAATTAAGATTTTTTTACATATCGAATCAAATAACTTTTGACACAATAATTACTAATGTTTGTAAAGATATGGGAATGCTTGGGGGAGTAAGAATGAATACAACCTTTTGGGAAGGTAATGTGGCAATAAACCTTAAAACTGGGTGTGCCCCTCTTTTACAGAAGAATATAGAAAATAATGAAATATAAAGGTTATATAGGTTCACATAGTCTATTATAAAAAACATGCTTGTACTGTTCACTTATCCGCTGCATTTCGTAGTTGTACCGGACTTTTCTCCTCTGTTCCATTGAAGGTCACCCACCCTTCACTTTGCTGCCGGTCTTTTATCACCTTCTGTGTGGCATTGAGCTCATTTGCCTTCATTGGTGAAGGAAGGACAGAATTTGTATCACCTGCAAAATAGGATTTACTGACTGACTGCGAGGTTCTAAGTAAAATTATATATTAGCAGCAAAGAATTGCAAACATTCCACTAAATGGTTTCTTTATAATTAAAGAGAAAAATCACCCAAGAAGTTAAAACTCTAGCTTTGATCCCTTTCTACTCTCCATTCTGAAAGCAGCAATTTCTTCAAATCCCTGATTAGCACAATCTCAACAAATTTTTAGGCAACCCCAGTCCCAAAGAGTATTGTCCTCAGAACTTTTCACATCTGCCAAGAGCACATCTCACAAAAACTGGACTCAAACAACACTCAGGGGTTCCAATTGTATTTTTTGCTTGTCTGTCTTTTTTATGCCTGATATGGTTGAGCTGTTGTTGAGAGGCTATTGTTTGTGCTGACTTCTTTTTTCTAATTACACTAGCCAACATTTTATCTATATTATTAGTCTTAAAACAACAGATTATGTTGTTTTTTATTAAGTCTCCATTTTGTGTACTATTTCATTAATCAGTGCTTTTATCTTTACTAATTAACTCCTTTTATTTTTTTTTTTGGTTGGAGGTTGGGGATGTCAGGAATTCTGTGTGTATTCATTTTTCAATCTCTCTTGTTTCCTAATAAATGAAGTTAGGATTAAATATTTCTTTTAAGAACTGAGTTATCCATTTTGACAGACTTTAAGGTAGTATATTCTCAATGTCATTTATAGTAATTTATAATTCTTGCTGTGACTTCTAGTGTAATTAGTTAAAAGAACCATGTAAATTTTTAATTTTATTTGCATTGTGCCTAGTGTTCAAGGTCATAGGATAGCACATAGTTTTGTGTCCTATTTCAAAATTCTGGGGAATGTTTCATGCATTTTGGAAAAGATTGTATATTCTCTTTTGGGTAAAAGGTTATAAATGCTTATATATATAATTTAAATATAAATATTTGTTTTTCAAATCTATGTTTTTATATTTGACTTTTTTGCTTTACTTACTTTTTTAATATATAAAATGTAACTATAGAAACTCTCCCATTATGATTGTGGATTTATATATTTTTTGTAGTTGTATTTGTTTTTTATATATTTTTGAGTTATTTTTAGGTACATAGAGATTTATGATTAATACATCTTATTTTATATTGTTTCTTTTATTATTTTGAATATATATATGTCCCTTACAGTGTTTTTGTCTTTCAGTTTCCCTTTCCTTTTCTTTTAAAAGGCTTATTGAACTGATGTTGAAACATTTCAGGTCTTTGAATTTTTCTTTAATTTCTTCCATATCTTTATTCCTTTGTGCTGTGTTCTGGAAGAATTCCATCACCTGGTCTTTCTACATACTCATTTAATCTTCAGTGATATCCATTCTGCTAAATTCAGTCAATCTGCTAAGATTTTATATTTCTTATTCTCCATATCTCTAATTTTTACTATTTACAATGCTGGCTTCTTTTTACACTTAAGATATCACATCTATTCTTGTCTAAGTATTTATTTATTTATGAAATCTTTGTTGGATATGAATTTTTGAATTTGTAAAGTTTATTATTCTTTTTTATTGTGCTAGTTTTCTCAAATGTTTGGCTATTTGTTATTATATTGAGATTCCCATTGAATAATCTATTTTATCAATCAGGGTAGCCAGCATTGGAAGGGGAAGAAATTATGCCTTATATTCTGGACTGCTTTCAGTAAAATGGGGGGAATGTGTAGATTGCCATTTGTTGTCAAAGCCCTCTGCTACTCTTGGCATCCTGGAACATTGTCTTGCGTATCTCTCTAACTTATATTGCTATATTCACTCCTGCTTCCTGGAGGCAGACACCACTATTACTGCCCCTTCCTTTGTAGGGTGTGTGTGTGGAACGTATACGGCTGTCACATTTCCTTTATTCAAACTAATCACTCTGCCTATTATCCATCAGCTCTTTCCTTCTCCTGGCTTCTACCTCTCCAAGCATAAGTTCATTTGGTACTGCTTCCATCTTTCCTGACAGTTTCCACCTTCAACCTTATTCCACCTACTTTCCAGCATACAGAGATTCTTCACACAATTTTTGTCACTGAGAATTTGATTTCTTGTTTATCTACTCTGCTACTTTTAAAGTTGGAAAAAAAACATATTTGATATTATATTAAACTAGCAACATCATAAATGTCGATAAATGTTTTCTTTGCATTTTCTTTGTCTTTTCTATATTTGATTTTGATCATGCATTTTTTTTAGTCAGAAAAACATGTATTTATGTATGGATTAAATTTTAAAACATAACTTTTTTTTTATGATTCCATGATGAAAGTGATGACCGAAGACAAAAGAGAGCCGCTGAACACACCTGCTTCCTTACAATGCTTTCTGGAATCTTCCCAGGAAGTCTTGATTGTGACATGGCAGAAAATCAAGGCCGTAACCCCAGAAAACATGGTTACCTTCAGCAATGAACATGGGGTTGTGGTCCAGCCTCGTTATAAGAATAAGATGAACATAACTGAGCTGGGACTTCGGAACTCAACCATTACCTTCTGGAATACCACTCTGGATGATGAAGGGTGTTACAAGTGCCTCTTTAATACTTTCGGTGCCGGGAAGATCGCAGGAATAGCCTGCCTCACTCTCTTTGGTGAGAATCTCTGAGAATACTTTTTCTCTGACTGGAAATGTTATTTTCAAGAATGTTTGGAACATGGTGGTAGTACCTAGTTTTTCAGGGTCCTAACCCCAGAAAGGTTTATTGGAAGGCAGTTAGCCTTTCATGTCTACTATAACTGTGGCTATGTTACTAGACAGTTCATGGGGCTACGCTGAATCTCTGCCTGGAGTTATCTTTGCTTTGAGGAATCCCTTTGTCAGCAGGAATAAATTAAGGATTGTGGTAAAGACAAGTTCTCCATAAGCAGTGATAGGATGCAGACCTTTCTTTGACGTTAGCAACATCATGGGACCATAGAAGAGTCTTGTCCACTCTCTGCACCAAAGTTAATTTATCTACACAGTAAGTGTGACATAGATAAGTAGTGTCTCTAACAGCTTTAACACTTTTGGATGTAAGATCAGAGCCAGATTGGGCTAACCTGGAGCCAGTCATGGTGGTCCCTCTCATTTTGTGTCAGTGTAGCCCTCTTAGGATTGATAAGGCGGCCTTCAGCACAGGCTCTTCATACCTGATGTCAAACAGGAAATTAACTGGATAATAAAAATATTTTTAAAAATCTTAGAGGCTTTGTTTGACAAGACTCCTTTCCTCTTAACTGACATATGGCTGAGATAAAGCAATGAGAAGTAGGAATGAGGGGTAACTTTGGAGCATGGCACTCTTAGTGGTGCTTTTAGGAGGGAAAAAACAAGCTTAGGCAGGGTTATTAAGAATGTTAATGTTGGAGTTTGAGCATATCAGATATATTGGACATAGGGTAAGAGGAGGCTAAGTAGATAAGAATGCAACAGAGGGATGACAAGTAGATAATTCAAGGGTGGGAAGTACAACTTATCTTTCACTTATTTGACTATAATGAATCCCTTTTGCAGGATAGTACATCAGGCCTTCTTCATATCTACTTCTTTCATTCTCTCTGCCTCAGTCTCTCTTCCCTCTCTTTCCCTCCCTCTATCATTCCTTTCTTTTTCTTCCTCCCTTCATTTCTTCCTCCCTTCACTTCTTCCTCCTTCCCTTCCTCTCGTCCGCCCCTGTTCCCTCCTTCTCTTCCTCCCTTCCTCCTACCTCATTTTTTTTCTCATTCCTTGTTGTGTTCTGTTTTTCTCATTTCGGTTCCTTTTACTTTTTCCTTTGCTCACCTTTCTCTTTTTCTGGTATTCCCCCTACTTTACTCATAATCTTTTTTATTTTTTTTGGCCTGAAAATCAGGCTCTCCTGAGTCTTGCAGCTAGTGAATATTGTTGTTCTTTTCTACACTGATGTTTTCCAGACACACCTAGCTTTTATCTGTCATTTTTTGATATACCAGGGAACTCTGTCATCCAGTCTGGCCACATCAGCCATAATCACCTTCCTTCACATTTCCCTCTCTTTCCCAGTGCTCATTGATGTAGTCATCTGGGCCCCATTTGGACAGAGCCACAGCCCTTACAGTCCTGTTTCCTGCAGCACACTGCCACTCATCCTCCTCTTGAACTTCTAAATACAGACCAGTTTTTAATTGAGCACTGCCTTCTAATTATCTTGTGGGCTACAAATCAACCAGAGAAAGATAAGCCTACATTTTGTTTAGCAGAAATAAACTGTATTTCAGTAAAAATGAACTCATTAGTCAAGGGACTTTCAAAAAGGGAACAGGGTAAAGCTGGGCTAAAAACAACATCCTTTCTCCATAAGCTATTTTCTTAACTTCATAAGGTGATCTCCAAGGTTCTTCAACTGTCATTCTGTGATTTTCTGGTTCTTGGATATGAATGTATAATTTGCATTTTGTGTAGATATGCAACCAGGGATTTTCCGAGTTCTTCTGTACAACCTGTATACTGGTTCAGCTCCCAGAAGAAAACTGCTATCACTAAGCAGCAGGCCCTCTATGGGCTCTGTGCTCTGAAACTGCCCTCGTGCTTCTGAGGTATGCACACTACTTGTATGAAGGCGTTCTTTGGTGGTCATTGTCAAACTATTTGTGAGTAATACCCAGAAAAAGGCAGAGATGCTACATTGCCCATGAAAAAGGAGAACAGAATAATTGGGCCATGGACTATTTGACAGAGAAGATATCATTTGTCCATTCAGCTAATTTACCTGCAAACTTCAGAGAGGACTTTTTGGGTGCAGGGTACTAGGCCAGTCCCCATCTTGTGGACGAGAGAATTAGACACAGATAGAAGGCCTCAGTTGGGACTGGACATGCTACCTTATCTTTCTCACTCTCATTCTGTCATCTTTCTTGGAAGAGTGCAAAACTCAGGCCAGGTGCCTAACTGATGGCAGACAATCTTTTTTTTCTTTTTCTTTTCTTTTTTTTTTTTTTTGTCCCAGTACAGCCCACAGTATTCCTTCGTTATAAATTCTCTGAAGACCACCTAAATATCACTTGCTCTGCCAATGCCCGCCCACCCCCTGTGATCTCCTGGAAGGTCCCTGGGTCAGGAATGGAGAACAGTACTGAGATTATCTCACACCCCAATGGGACCACATCTGTCATCAGTGTCCTCCAGGTCAAAGATCCCAAGAGTCAAGTGGGGAAGGAGGTGATCTGCCAGGTGCTGCACCTGGGGAATGTGACCAACTTTAGGCAGACTGTGAACAAAGGTAAGAGAAGGTGGGCAAAGATGGCTATAGTCACACCTATGTACACACATCTGGAAGGTGGTGAATGTTCTGCAGAACCTCTCTGCCTCTTAGCAAAGGAGCTAATAGAAGAGAAGATAGATTAAATAGAGAAAGAAAAAGAGCACTGAGGAAGCCAATAAAACTAATGTTATTTTAGTAAATGTGGCATGTTTCCCACATACCAAATGTGGGTATGAAATGATCCATTCATTCATTTATTTTTCCATGTTAACACATTACTAGTATCTGTTGTGTGCCAGGCTTTGCAGTAGTGAGCAAGACTTAGAGAGCATTTAGTCTACTGGAAAATACTGAAGTGGCCAGGCAATTGAAAAACTGCATGTTAAATGCTTTCATAAGAAAGATACAGTGCAGCCCTGGCCAGGAAGCTTATTTGGTTAGAGCATTGTCCTAATAGCCCAAGGTTGTGGGTTTGATCCCCGGTCAGTACACATACAAGAAGCAACCAATGAATACATAAATAAGTGGAACAACAAAATCATGTTTCTCTCTCTTTTTCTCCATCATCTCTCTCTAAAATCAATAGACAAAATTTTTTTTAAGAAAGCTATTGTGAAATTTTCCTGAAAAACAATAATCTGAAAAAGAACATGTTTTCTTGTCCAAGAATGCCAAGAGTTAACTTATAACACTTATAATCATTTTTTCCTTTATATTTTTCTGTATTTTCTAAAACTTCCTCAATAAACATATTACTTTAATGGACAGGCAAGGCAAAGAGACCTCTGAACAAAACTTAGTTCTACCACTTACTATGCTGATTTTAGGTTTAACTTCTCTGAGCCTCAGTCCTTTTTTTTTAAATATTAGATAATGATAATCCCTAATTCTTGGACAATTTTGAGGGTTAAATGAGATAATACAGTCAAAACTCTTATTACATAGTAATTACATAAAACATGTCAAGTATTATTATTTGAATGTTTTTAAAATGATATGTCACAAATATAGACATCAATATGCATACTTTTAAGAATAATTTTCATTGAAAGCTTAACTCCAGTAAAAACGCACCACAACTATTCCTTTATTATTTTGGCCCCAAAAGTTTCCTTTTATGATTTCATCTTACCTCTTTTTCCCTTCAATATCTACAGGCTTTTGGTTTTCAGTTCCACTGCTGTTAAGTATTGTTTCCCTGGTAATTCTTCTGATCTTAATCTCAATCTTACTATACTGGAAACGTCGCCGGACCCAAGACAGAGGTGAGCCATTACAAGAAGTACAAAGAGGGAAACATGATTTTTTTTAATGACAATTTGGTGGTCACATGAAGATATAAATAAGGGAATGGCAACAATGTGCTTTGTTTGTTGTTTCCAAATTACATAAATGTTAATGATATTTTAAAACAATGTTTCAGTGTCATTTTCTTGCAATTGGACGTTAAACTGGATGTTTCTGCTTTTGATTTGCTGATATTGTTTAAAGGCTAATTGTTTTGTAAATTGAGAGTAAGGGCTGGTGAGAAGAAATGTGGACAGTGTGTTCTGATGACTATGAAAACACGTGATGACAAAACCAGAGAAAGAAGTTTGCCATCCATGCTGTGTTCTTTCTATCCATCAATGAAAGGATAGAACTATTCTCTTTTTATAGCATTCCACAAGCCAGCTATTCCATTTAAGAGACTGTGAAATTGTCCAGTATTACTAGTAATTAAGTAGCACTTCCTGTGTCATACTCTAACTATATCTCAAACATTATAAGCAACATACAGATGATCCATACTTACAATAACTGTGTCATGTCATTCTGCCCTTGTAGACTATAAATTCCTCTCCATTCCCTCCAGCATCTATCACAGTGTCTTATGTATACCATGTAACCAACAAATATTCATTAAACTAGTAAATGAATGCATTAATGGATGGAAGGGCAGATTTTCAAACTGGTTTTTTAAAATTTCCCTTTTCTTATTGTAAATTCAGTACCTCGTAAATGCCGAGTCTAAAACATTGTAAGACAGTAAAACTAGAGATGCAGTAGAACAGGATGAATCAGCTAGAGAGAGAGCATGAAATTTCTTTGGTTTCTGAAGACAGACACAATTTATTAAAGCCAATGCAAAACTGCTATTTATGCTGCATGTGATGGGAATTTCCTAGGGTGAAGGGCTGATATGGGAGTTTTCTCCATCTCAGATGACTGAAAGTTAGGGAGGAAAAAAATGTTGGCTGTGAGTGTTATTTTAGATGTCTGTTAAAAGTCTCACTCAAATGCAACCTTGTTTTCCTTTTCATTTTACGTCTCATAAACTAATGTCTTTCAGGTTCTAGGTGTTTTGAGCACTTAGTTTTGCATAAGACTTTTTACAAATAACAAATTAATTCTTGTGGTTTTGTAGGAAAAGCAACAAATCTTGTTGTGCCAATTAACCCTTCACAGAGTAGGTGAAGGTATTTGTTCTGTTAGGGAGAGGACATTGCAGATCAGCTGATCTTATTGCACACGAATATAAGCCTATAGGCTTCATTAGCAGTTTGCAGAATGTCAGAAGCAGAAGGCCAATTCTACTTTATCCAAACATTTTACTTTTCTAGTTAAGAACTGGAGCCCAGAGAGGAAAGTTGACATTCATCGCTAAGGTCACACAGCTAATAGTTTACAGCAGGGTTAGGACTCCTTGGTCTCCTGCCCTTGGCCAGGACGCTTTTCTAGTCAAGATGCCTTGGAATCTTGACTTGAAAGGGGCTATTATTAGTTGTACTTCACTCCGTGCTTGCTGTTACTGCTGTATTCTTTTAGAAAGTTTAAGCATAAAACTACAAAGTGTTCAAATTCATTTTTAAAAGTTCCTTTTGAACAAGAATCAATAATACAGTTTATTCAAGCCCAAGGTGAATTCCACTAGAAAAGGGCATTTGGAAAACATTGTCTTCTGTTCACTTGGTCTTGGATTTCTGGGAACTATAATTAATTGTTCAATGCTTTATCCGGTTCCTGAAACAAAAAGAGTCAACTTATCTCTGTATCCAGGTTTTTTCTCATTTATGGAATACAATAGCTCCCCCATATCGAAGAGGAATGTGTTTCAAGGCCTCCAGTGGGTGCCGGAAGTGGCACTTAGTACTGAATTATATAAATATTATGTTTTCTTCTGTACATACATATGATAAAGTTTACTTTATAAATTAGGCACAGTAAGAGATTAACAATGTCTAATAATAAAATAGAACAGTGATAACAGTATACTGTAACAAAGTTATGTGATGTGGCATTATTAAATAAAATAAGGGTTACTTGAATACAAGGTCAACAGCTACCTATGGCTGCAGTTTGATCTGAGAACCTAGACGGCTACTAAGTGACTAGTGGGCCATAAGTAAATGCAGCATTGATATACTGGGCCAAGGGGTGATTCATTTCCAGATGGGATGGAGTACAACCGTGCAAACTTCCATTATGCTATTCAGAATAATGAAAAATTTAAGTAGTAAAGGATAAGAGGAGTCCAATATATGAAGGGGACCCCAAAAAATGGAATTTATTTATAAAAAATTGTGTATTTACCCTAACATGTTTAAACTTCAGTCACCTTCGAAGCACTCTCCCTTTGATGCAATACACTTATCGAGACATTTTTTCCACTGCTCAAACAGTTTTTGAACTCATTGATTTGGATGCATTTTAGTGCTTCTACTGTTTTTTGTTTTACCTCTTCGACATCAGCAAAATATTTTCCTTTGAAAACTTTTTTCATCCAGGGAAACAAAAAATAAGTAACTAGGGGTAAGATCCGGTGAATAGGGAGGGTGAGGCATGGGGTTTATGTTGTTTTTGGTAAAAAACTAGTGAATACTCAGTACAGTGTGGGCAGCTGTGTTCGTAAATGACCCATCATGAAATGGGCAAATGCGCTGAAAGTGTCTTCAGAAAAAGTCACTGAAGCCTCTCACAGCCTCTCACAATGCCAGCTGGCACACTGATGCAGATGGGTTCCTAGAACACTCACCTAGTGGGGGAAGCCTGTACTATACAAGGGGCCTACCTTACAGAAGATAATTCTAGTATTTGGGGGGTATCCCCCTTAAATGATGATGGGAGGAAATTTAACTTAGGGTGGGAAATACAATTATAGAATTGTATACTTGAAACCCATTTTATTTTATTAACCAGTTTCAACCCAATAATTTAAAAACTTGTGAATTGTTTATTTCTGCAATTTCCTATGTTATAATTTTAGACTGCAGTTGACTGCAGGTAACTGAAACCATGGAAAGCAAAACTGAATAAGGGGGAACTACTGTGAGCAACCAAATCTGTATTGAATCTTGTAAGCACTAAAATTACCATTTACTGATGATGTCTTCATTACATAAGGTCAATTCAGTTAATTACACTGAATGTTCAGTGACATATTTTGAGTGACTGGATTTTTTGGCTGGTTTCAAAAATTTTAACAGCCAGATGACTTGATCTCATATATTTAAATAGCTGGAAAAACCAGTTGTTTATGCTGGAGTCTTAAATGTTCAAAGTTAAGAAAATACTGGTTTAAGACCAAAATTTAAGTTGCACAGAGTTGGAAGAAGGGGAAGAAAATCATTTTTATTACTTCAAGTAACAAATTCTGATTGTCAATTTGTGAAAAAAGTGAATAGCCCTACTACCTTTGCTTTCCATCTTTCCTTTTACTTTTTGTTTTTGGGGGGGTTTTTTGGTTTGTTTTTTCATTTCTTGAAAACTTGAAACTTCTGTATGGGCACGAAAATGTCTCCAAGGTTCTTACTTGTCATGAAAAATGGTAATGTAAATAGATATAGAGGGGGAACTGAAGGGGTGTGTATGTGTGTGTGTGTGTGTGCATGCGCGCATGCATGAGCACGTGTGTGTTCAGTTTGTGGAGAGGGATGAATTCTTGAATTTACTGAATGTGAATAGACAAAGAGTAATCTCCAAGGAACTGCTAAATAGGGAGACAAAGCTGGTAGGTAAGGAAAGTTTGTGAAGTAAATTTCAACTCTTTGTTAGACAAATGACAAAAAAAAAAGCTTATTTTAGATCAAAATCACTTGCTGGCTCTCACAAAAGCATACGCAAATTAATAGTTTTTAGACAGAGGCATAATCTCTAATAACTGATGTTATTTTTATGAAGTTCAACTCCATTTACTTTTCTTGTGGTTTTGTATAATGCCAGGGAGCATGAATTTGATATTTTTTCCACAGTGAAGTTGCATAATGAAGGAAGGTATGATGAGTTAGAGGCAGTTTCTCTTTGCACCATTCCTGAAGGGATCATTACAGTTACTTCTCATGAAACTGTGACAGTGAGATAATAGGTTAATGGGTTTTCAAAGAACTCTTTTTCTTTTATGAATCAAGTCCTTTATTACTGAAATAGAAAATGGGAAAAAATTAAAATTTCCCAGGAAAATTTTCCACCATTCTATAATAATTCTTTCTTTTTTTTATTATTGTTGTTCAGTTAGTTGCCCCACCTTTATCCCCATTGTCCTCCCCTGCCCTGCACCCCTCCATAGTCCAACCCCCCAACCCTGCTGTCTGTGCCCTTTAAAACCAAACTGATGTCATAAATTTGTCCTTTCCACATCTACAGTCAAATTGAATTGGGGTCAAGCATCATCTCTGATTGCTCATTAGGCAACCCAAAAATGACCACATGCTTCTCAAAAACAAAAACTTCACTTCGAGGCAGGTCAGCATAGACTATCCCCTAATTTTTAGAAAGTTTTATTTTGAGTAGCAGTTTTCTTTTGTTTCATTGACTTAAGGCGGAAGTAGAAAACTAGAAAATTTAGACAGTCATGTGAAATACATGTTCCAAACTTTACTTTTTCTTCAAGAATATAGCTATTTCATGTAGAAGTGGGGTTTTTTTTTTACCTACATTATCCGTATAATTGCCTTGATTTCTTTTACTTCACAATAACCTCACCCTCAATAAGTGGGCTTTTGCAATGAAAACAATGGTAATGTTAGTAAAGCACTACATTTTGGGTAGCATCATGTTACTTTCTCCTATATTAAGCTTAGTACTATGTCGAATAACAGAGATGATCAGTAAACAACTTGTAATGGTGAAATTGTTGATTAGTTAGAAGGACAATACAAAGAAAATTTGTTTCCAAAAATAGTATAAGAATCTTTGCTTTGCTAAATAATTGTACTTATTCTTTCCAGGTGAAAGTTGGGTGAGTGGTAATTCTCATCCTTACCTCAATTTCTTCATAGATCCAGGAAGAAGAAATGTAATGCTTTATATGAGAAAAGTGTTAAGCAACCTTTATTGAAACCCTAGGTCAGAATTGCTGTGATAAATTTGACATTCCAAGGCCTATTTTTCTACAAAATCTTACCCTTGAGTGAGTGCAAATGCCACCCATCAGATAAAAATTTCATGATATTTTTATCTAGTCACGAAGTTCCTGGCTAACAGTCATTGAACCACAGACATTCTTGCTTGAGCTGCTGTGTGTCTTTTGTCAGAGAGCTCACACAGGAAATGTTGGCAATGTTCAAACATGCAGAACTTGGTAGGCTTTCTGTGCCAGCAAGCTAACAGCCTTTGAAAGGATCTCCATTTGTCTACTCTGTGACTATTCTTAACCCAATGTCCAGTAGGTTAGCTACAGGAAGCAAAGCTCAAGATCTTATTAATAAAATACACATAGATCATTTGGAATTCTTGAACATATTCTTTTACTTGTAATCTTAAGTGATTCTGCAAACTGTTATTTCCTTGAATTACCTATATTTTAAAGAGAGCTACATCCCCTTCTCATCCCATTGCATCAAGCATGTCTAATTCCTTATCTTTGTTGATAAAATCTGCAAGAGGAGAATTCTATATTTATTGACCCTTCTGCTATTTATCTTCTTAAAATCTATTAGGACAGAAATTATAAATGTGCAAAGTTAATATCTTGGTCTTTTTTTTCCTTTGTTCAGAGCCTTAGAAGAGTCACAGAACCCTGAAAATGATTCGCTGGTCTACTTGAATCTGACACAGGAAGAAAGCAGGAGAAAAAGGGTCATTCTCCAGGGACCTATGAGAGCAAAAGAGGTGGAAATAAAAGGCCTAAGAATTTCAAGACTTTCTACTGCCATCTAAGCTACCCACTACTTGTGTGAGTTCCAAGAGGAAGTCATTTTACCTCTCAGGTCTGTTGTAGGAATCGATTTTGTAAAGCAGTGCAGTGTTGTGCCATCGAATGGATGCTGGACTTAGAATCAGGAGCCACAGCTTGAGGCTGGCTTTGCCTGAGAGTGGAGGCAACCCTGTTAATCACATTATTCAATGAACTTCCATGATGGCATCCAGAAAACTAAAGAGTTGGACCAGATAATTTGACATTCTGCTCTATACCTGAAGTAATTCCAGGAAAAAAGGAAGAGACATGAAAAAGAGAGAGGAAAAAAATTGGGAAGGGTAAGGACCAAAGAACTTTTCTGAGACTACCTTTTGCTTTTCTGTGGCAGTTCCATCTCTTCTTCCCTTATTGTTCTTAGGCTCATGAGTCCATTTCCTTGTCACTTGGTATCTAGTCCACTACCTACTTACTGCTTTAAAAGCTGCTCTCTCTAGAACCCGTGGTTTCACTGCTATTCTTCATGTATTGCTGTGACATTTACCACAATGAAAGTGGGGTTGAATTTATTGTGAAATAACATTGGTAACCCTCACTTTACTTACCTATTTTTATAGCAGAATAAATATTGTTAGTCTTAGATAGCCGCTCACATTTGTTTAAAAAAAAAAAGGCATGCATTCTTTGTCCATTTGTCTCCTAATGTGACTCAGCCCTATTTTAGTCATTCTGGGTTCAGGCTAGTATAATGAAAATGTATTATAAAAACAAGCATCGAGGAGGTTTCCTAAATAGCAATTGGCCAGTTCAAATGCTTTGTTTCTCCTGTCTTCTTTTCCCATGAGTTCACTTTTCCCAGTAGTAGAGGAAGCATGTATAGGTATACAATTCCCTTTGTCCTAAATATATTGTTTTAACTAGTGGAACAATTTTTGAACTCTTTAATAATCATAAGACCAAATTAGTGATTTTTTCAGTATCTTTTGCTTTCTTGTCTCCATCCAGTGACCTAGAAACTAAAACTTAAGTTGTTTTTACTGTTGAATTGGGTATTTATATATTTAGTAAGATTTTAAGGTGTTATTTAATTCTGTATTATTTCTTACATTTGTATAAGATGTTGAATTAAAAGTGTCAACTCTAAATATTTGGGGTTTTTTAATTCTCTTGGGAAATGTGGGAAATATAGATATTAATGATGATCCTTGTATTTTCCCACCATGTGTGAAAACCTCCCCTCCCATCTCTCACACTCCAAAGGCACCCTGGCCATTTCTGATAATTCTCAGTGTCACATATCAGATGTCCCTGGTTACCTGATACAGTTTTGAATTGAGTGGGAATGGCCACCCTGCCTCTGGTTTTGTGGTATTTCTGGTAATTCAGCTACCACTTCAGGCAGGATAACTTAAAGCAGCAATTGTCAAATATTTAGGTCTCAAGACCACTTTACATGCTTGTTAGGTCAGCCCAAGTCTGCACCCTTGGTTGCTCTGTTCCTGCCCTCCCCTGAGGAGCTCAACAACAACAAGGCCACACTGGTATGTCTCATCAGTGACTTCTACCCTGGCAGCATGATGGCAACTAGGAAGGCAAATGGCAACCTCGTCACCCAGGCTGTGGACACCACCAAGACCTTAAAACAGAGCAAAAACAAGTACATGGCCAGCAGCTACCTGGCCTGATGTCAAACAAGTGGAAATTGAGCCGCAGCTACAGCTGCCACATCACTCATGATGGGACCGCCTTGGAGAAGACAGTGGCCCCCGCACAGTGTTCTCAGGACCCTGAGCCCCCTATCAGCAGGGTCCCTCTTCAGCCAGGCAATCCTTTCCTAGCTCCCTGCTGTACCCCTAAGACTCCTACCCAGATCAGCTCAGACTGGGCAGGTCCCCCTCCCTCCCGTTTCTACTTCTTGTTAATAAAGACCTAATCATTTATCAAAAAATAAAATAAAATACTGAAGATTGCTCACTTAAAGTATAGACAAAGAAAGAGACCACTTTATGAGAAGACTTCATGAGTTTTTTTCAAAGGAAGCCCTTACTAAACAGCTGTCTATATTCATAGTGCCTAAGCATTCTAGTAATTACCTTTCCGGGAGTTTCCCTTAATGTGCTAAGAGCCATAGGACTATTTTCTCTTCAATCACTAACAATTGATTTAAATTGGCTTATTAAATATATTATCAGTTACTTTGCAAGATATTGAGAGCTTTGGACTTGGAATAGGTAGGTTTTGATGGACAGGACTTAAGAGGGTCATAGAGAGTGCAGAGAGGGGGAGGATGGGAGGGCAGGTCCGATGCCTGTGTAACACCAGTCTTGCCTTAGGACTCCTGCTGCCACACCCCTAGGACAGGCTTACCCTCCATACTCATCTTGCAGTGCTTCTTCTGAATTTGTGAATTAGAAAGAAGCAGCTTGAGCTTTCTATACTTAAGCCACATCAGGGAAGTTGTAAGCATTTGAGCCACTTAGAGTAACTCGATCACATAATTCTTCTCTTAGTAAAAACTTAGAAAAATTCCAGGATGATGGTAAACTTACTCTGACACAGGGGAAAGGGGGAAAAACACCTTTGTGCTTAAATAAAACTAAAACTGAAAATGAGGATTTCAAAGAGGAAGGAGGTACTAATTTATGAATTACCAACTAGGTAACATTATATAAACTCAGGCTTAAAGAGGACAAAATCCATAAGGCTTTTGTTAAAATAGTTTTCTTGGACAAACTTTCTTCTGTTGTCATTCTTAGATCATCAAGAGAGAGGTTTTATTGTTTTGAAAATAAAACTTCCTCAACTAATTCCTCATAATTGTAATGTTGCTTCTCAAAATATTCCAGATTGGATTTCAATCTCACCACCACAGTTGCTCAAACTAATGAACTTGCAACAAGGAAACACAGAGCTATTAGTCAATTCTAAGCAAGGTAACTTTTGTATTCATTAGATACATCGCATGTATTCATCGCATTCATTAGAGCCTTGTGAGGTCAGGAAGGTATTGAAGCCCATTTTTGAGGTATGAACAGTGAGGCTTTTCAGGGATTGTCCTCAGGGAACACTGTGAATGTGAAGTAGGGCTGAAACTCCCAGGCTTCCTGCCCAGTGCCTTCACTGTCCCCTTTATTCATCCTGTGATTCATCCCACATCCTGTTTGTCAGTATATCCTGTTTGCTCTATCAATACACTAGGAATCCTACTCCTAACTCCCAATCCTGTCACCTGGCCTAAACCATTATTATTTTTCTCCTAGATTGTTGCCACGGCTTTCTTTCTTCTTCTGAGAGTTTATTTATTTATTTTGAGAGAGGGAAAAGGAGGAAGGGAGGGAGAGAAACATCAGTCAGTTGCCTTTCACAAGCCCCAACCAGAAACCTGGCCAGCAACCCAGACATGTGTCCTGACCAGGAATCAAACCAGTGACCTTGAGTTTTGCGGGACAGCGCCCAATCCGCTAAACCACATCAGCCAGGACAAATGGTTGCCATAGCTTTCTAATTAATCTCCATGCTTCTGCTTTCTGCTTCTTTTAATTTATTCTTAAAACTTTTAAAATATAAGTCAAGAAAAATCATATCATTCTGCACAAATTTTCCAAGTATTTCTCATTTTATTTGGAATAGAAGACAAAGTCTTTACGATGGCTCTCTCTACATGATTGGGCTCTGAAATCATCTCTTACTATTCTTTTCCCTGATCTAGCTTTGCCAGCCACACTAGATTCCTTACTATTTCACCAACACTCAGACATGCTTCCATTACAGGGCCTTGGCACTGACCCTTTTCTCTGCCTGGAATGTTTTTGTTGTTGTGATTTTCCTAATAAAAAATATTTTAATGTAGGAATCCATATGAAGACATTACATTTAGGTGGTAAAATTCAGATCACAAATATAAGATAAATATCAAATAATATCATACTTCTGGTTTAATGGAAAACATAACAGTTGTTACAGTCATACCTCATACCTTGGTTAAGCAAAGAAAGAATGGGCAAAAGTGTCAAAGACGTGTGCAAAGGTTTAACAGTTCATGTAACCCTTACCCCTTCTGAGAAACTGTGCATGGGAAATATGTGACAAATATTTCTAGCAGGCAGCTTCAGTCCTTCAGTGATCATTCTGTTCATGTGTTTTGAACACTAAAAACTAGATTCAAAATCTGCTTAACAAGCTAGTAATACTATGAGTCCCTTACGCTAAAAAATACAGTTTAAATTTGGAAAGTTCAAGATAAAACATACTTGTTTTCATAATTACTTTTAGACACAGTTGAGACTACATCACTGTACATAATCAGGTATACTGCTGTGTACAGTTAATTCTAGTTACCATATTTTGTATTTGTTGGTCATCTACTGCACAAAGTTTATACCCCAAAAGAAATCTGTCAATCCAGAAAAAATGGTTACATTTAATTTCTTTTAAAGGCGAATAAACTAAAAAAAAATGCTTTTCTTGATATCTCATTTTCAAATTATTGATACAAACTTACCAAAAGAAATACCGTATTTTGCCAGGTATAATGCACACTCTTCTCCCCAAGTTTTGGAGGGAAAAATAACGATGCACATTATACGTAGGTAGTGCCTGAAATACCTTGTATATGTTCTTGGGTTTTATAATTATTTGTTACATAAAATTTCTTATACCATAATATGTTGAAAAATAAATGCTAAAATTCCTTTACAATACAAAAAATAAGTATCTGAATATAAATCAATAAAAATTAAATTAAAAGATTTTTTTCCCTGAAAGTTTGGACCAAAAACATGGGTGCGCATGATACACTGCAAAATACAGTAATTATATATTTTTCCCAGCATTGAATAACTTGTAGAAGGATCCCAAGATAGCCACATTTTTTGTTTATTTTCCAAAAGTAAAGAAAGGCTTTCTAAATGATAGCACTTATATTCTTGGCTCTCTAAAGTAAACATTAAAAAACAAAGTACAAAAAATGATTTTCCAGTTTCTGATTAAACCACTTAGTTACATAAAGTATTTTTTGTGCCAACATTTTCTCAACTCAAAAGATATTTACTTTCTGAGGACATGGCAAAGTCTTCATTTCAAACTATTCATTCTGTTTCCACAGCAACATTGTGGGGGTTCCTTAGCTACTATTAGTCTTATCAGTTGACTATGGATTTTCTCAGTCTTCTTTGTATCTTGAGGTTGGTCTGTTCTACATACCAAACAAACTAAATCGTCTGTTACATTAATACACAAACTCCCATCAGAATGCCTATATTTGAGAACCTCACCGAGCATTCATAAGGTTGGTGAGGTAGAGTTTTTCCACAGCGCAGGACTGAACTCCTCCCAGGTCTTTTACTGTGGCTTTGTGGGCCTGTGGCTGAACACAAAAGGGAGGCAGGGCAGGTGGGGTAGTTTTTTTCCCCCAAGTTAGCACATAAGCCCCATCCCCAGCAAACACTCTCTATTTCTTCTTCTTCATTTTCCTCCACTGCACTCATCACTGTTATAGCATGAAATATACTTTGTGTTTATTTTATCTGTCTCCTTCTGTTAGATTGTAAGTGGCATGAGGGCAAGGATTTTTTAATCTGCTTGCTTGTTTGCTTTTCCTGAGCATGTAGTACAAATATTCAATACATATTTCTTGAACAAATTAATATTATGCTAATATATTATGAGAGGGAGGAATAGTTCAAACACCTTTGCATTGGAACATCCTTCCTGCTCATGGGAGAGTGTGATTGTATTACATGGGAGAGAGGGGGAAAGGGACTTTAGAAATTGGTGGTCATGAGGCCTAGAACAGGTACAATAAATTTAGAGACAAAAAGGGAGTTTAAGTTCCATTCCTGACATTTAGTAATATGTGATCAGCTGCTTAATTTCTCTGAATTTGCATTTGCTCAATTAGAAATTTTATGTGCACCAAGTCTGTCTTACCGAGTGGCTGTAAGGCTCAAGTGGAAGTTTATGTAACCCCAAAACTCCCACTGAAATAGCACAGGGTTCATGTTCTTAGTTGCTTTCCAATTCCTCCCCACCCCCAAAGTCAGCCC